TCCTACTTAATACTCCTCCGTCTCAATTTGTATGAAACTTCTCATTTGGGACAACCGGAAATGGTTGATATCATCCATTTTTATTGCAACATTCACAACTTTCAAGAATTAAATTCATTAGACTATATTTAACCTTTGATGTGATATTTTCTATATTCAAACTAACTTTCAATCATTATTAATACTTTCTCCAATATCATTGATATAACATATAAGTTAGATTAACAATTTAAACTCTGTGCAGTAAAGTAGTCTTAAAATGGGAAGGAATGTGTAAAAAGATGTTGGCTATTACTTGATTGGAAAAAACCAAATATATTGGCTATTAACTTTAAATGGCAAACCTTACCTCCTTCTCCATTATTTTTTCTGTGGTTATTGGAATAGACTGCATCGCTAGAAATGCACATACTTTCTGCGAGTATTTGTAATGCATTATGTTATTAATTGTACAAAACAGAACCTAACGAGTAATAATAATAATAATAATAATTGTACAAAACAGAAATTGAAGAGTTTGTGACTTATCATTGGGGAATTTCTTCTCTTGGTTCACTATGCTTAAGTATGTAACATTTTATTCTTATATGATTTTATTTAGTGCCTCTTGATGTGATGACCTGCAATAAATATTCAATTGTAAATGCAGCAAACCAAGTACACCCGAAAAACTGGTATCCTATCCCACTTGTATTTTGTCGTCCATGGGGCAAGCTGCCAGAAAATGTGCCGTGCCATCCAAAGCTTGCCGACTTTGCCAACTGCATGAAGAAAAAAGGCAGGGGAATGTCCATCTTTGTCTCTATTATAGATGGAGACTACCATGAACGTGCTGAGGATGCTAAGGCTGCTTGCGAGCAGCTAAGTACCTATATAGAGTACAAGCAATGTGAAGGTGTAGCTGAGATTGTTGTTGCCCCCAACATGTCAGAAGGCTTTAGAGGCATTGTTCAGACTATGGGTCTCGGAAATCTTAAGCCAAATATAATCGTAATGCGGTACCCGGAGATTTGGCGTCGTGAAAATTTGACCGATATTCCTGCTACCTTTGTAGGAATAATAAATGACTGCATTGTTGCAAACAAGGCTGTTGTCATTGTTAAGGGTCTAGATGAATGGCCAAATGAGTATCAAAGACAGTATGGTACCATCGATTTATACTGGATAGTGAGAGATGGTGGTCTTATGCTTCTGCTCTCTCAGCTCCTCCTTACAAAAGATAGCTTTGAGGGATGTAAGATACAGGTGTTCTGCATTGCAGAGGAAGATTCTGATGCAGAGGGTCTCAAGGCTGATGTAAAGAAATTTCTTTATGATCTCCGGATGCAAGCTGAAGTTATTGTCATTTCGATGAAGTCATGGGAAGCCCAAGGGGAGAAGCAAGAATCTGTTGAAGCATTCAGTGCTGCACAGCAGAGAGTTGCTAGTTACTTGGAAGAAATGAAAGAGCAAGCGCGGAGAGACGGGACCCCTTTATTGGCTGATGGAAAGCCTGTGTTTGTTGAAGAGCAACAAGTAGAGAAATTCCTCTATACTACTCTAAAGCTGAATTTAATGATACAGAAATACTCGAGAATGGCTGCAGTTGTGCTCGTAAGTCTACCTCCTCCCCCTTCCAATCATCCTGCGTCCTTCTACATGGAGTACATGGACCTGTTGGTTGAAAATGTACCAAGGCTCTTGATTGTTCGTGGATATCACAAAGATGTTGTCACTTTATTCACGTAGTTCTTGTTCAAATACCATTTTTTTCCCTTTAGCTAAAAACATCCAATTTATTTGCCTTTAACTTCATTTCTTTTTTTACTTTCCCTCCGCGAGCAGGAGGGCGGAGGGGTGTACAATATAGTTCATTGTATAATTCTTTCTTTTTTAACCCGAAAATCTTGACGAAATTTTGTGACCGATGAATCTCAAGTCAATGCAGCCTTTTATACAACTTTTACCTTGTCAACTGTACTGTGGTCCAAGTCACAGTCTTGGTTAACCTGTTACCATTGAGGAAACTTCTTCCTCATCACCCTGTTTCCCCTTCCCCTGGAAAAGAGGAGATACTCTAAAGGCTCTTTATCTCTTATTTCAGCTACCATAGTTTTGTAAAAATTGCACGGGGCGCCCTATTTGGTCACCCCCATTTAACATGTATTTACTATTTTAATTAGCACCCAAAGTTTAAACAACTTTCTTCTTCTTCTTCTACGGGTAACAATGATTTATTGTTGTTTGTGAACATATTTTAAGGTTGTTTATGATGTTTTACAACGGTGAGTTGCCATGACGCGTTATTTTTACTATAGCTTAGGGTTTCTTCTTCTTTTTCTTAATTGCAAAATGGGTTTGATAGATTTATTGTTGTTTTGATAAATTGATGATTGAGGCGTGTTTTTGATGATATTTGGAGGTTATGTTTCAAATTTGAGCTCATTTAGAGTAGATTTAGGTGTTAAATCGTATATTGGATTGTTAAAATTCGAAGAACAAATTTCTATTTCTGCGCAATTTGCACTTGATGTCTGTTTGGCCGTAAGTGCATGAAAACGTTGGTTGTACTTCAGACCTATTTGGCCTTAAGTGTATCTGAAATGCATTTTTTTTGACTTAAGACTTGTTGGCCTTAAGTGCATAAAACATTGGTTGCACTTCAGATCTATTTGACCTTAAGTGCATCTGAAGTGCAATTTTTTTCACTTCGGACGTTTTGGCCTTAAGTGCATGAAACCATTGGTTGCACTTCAGACCTATTTGCCTTAAGTGCATCTGAAGTGCAATTTTCACTTCAAACTTTTTGGCCTTAAGTGCATGAAATCATTAGTTGCATTTTAGAGCTATTTGGCTTTAGGTGCATATGAAGAGCAATATTTCATTTCAGATTTTTTGGCTTTAAGTGCATGAAACCATTGGTTACACTTCAGTCCTATTTGGCCTTAAGTGCATCTAAAGTGTAATTTTTTTTTACGTCGGACATCTCTCACCTTAAGTGAATGAAAATATTAATTGCACTTGAGACCTATTTGGCCATAAGTGCGTCTAAGTGTAATTTTTGCACTTTAGACTTAATTAGCCTTAAGTGCATTGCACTTCAGACTATTTTTTTTAACTTCAAACCCGATTAGTGTGAAGTTGATCCTAAAATGAGTAGGCTTGTAATTTTTTTTACAAAGTGAGTATAGCTTCAATTGTGACCCAAAAACCGAGTATAGATGCAAAACCCCCCATCGTTTTGCTTCATTGGCCCAAAGGTAGCAAAGGGATTTGGTTTAGAATGATTTGGTCTCAATGTTTCGTAAAAATTGCAGGGGCCGCCTATTTGGTCGCCCCCATTTAACTTGTACCCACTTTTTATTTTTTTTAAACTTATACTCATTGTTTAAATAACTTCTTTGGGCAACAGTGATTTTATATGGTGTTTGTGAACATATTTTAAGGTATTTTATGATGTTTTACCATGGTAGTTATTGTGGCACTTTATTTTTTCACTATTGCTTAGGGTTTCTTCTTTTTCTTTTTCTTAATTGCAAATGGGTTCATAAGATTTATTGTTGTTTTGACAAATTGATGATTGAGGTTTGTTCTTGATGATATTTGGAGGTTATGTTTCAAATTTGAGCTCATTTGGAGTAAATTTAGGTATTAAATCGTATATTGGATTGTTAAAATTCGAAGAACAGATTTCGATTTCTGGGCAATTCTGCACTTCATGCCTATTTGGCCTTAAGTGCATGAAAACGTTGGTTGCACTTTAGACCTTTTGGCCTTAAGTGCATCTGAAGTGCAATTTTTTTCACTTTAGACTTATTGGCGTTAAGTGCATGAAAACGTTGGTCGCACTTCAGATCTTTTGGCCTTAAGTGAATCTGAAGTGCAATTTTTTTTTTAATTCAGACTTATTGGCTTTAAGTGCATGAAACCATTTGTTACACTTCAGACTTATTTGGCTTTAAGTGCATCTGAAATGCAATTTTTTCACTTCTGACTATTTTTTTTAACTTCAGACTCGATAAGTCTGATCGTAAAATGGGTAGGCTTGTAATTTTTTTTGCAAAGTAGGTATAGGTTCAGTTGTGACGCCAAAATTGGGTATAAATGCAAAAGCCCCTTAGTTTTAGGTTAAGGTAAAGTAGCTGTGATTTCTGTATCCATTTTTTTTTAACTTACTATGTGGATTGAAGTGTTTCGTGTAACTAAGGCAAGATACCTTATTTCAAAGTAATTGCTTTTCTAGAGAAGAGAGGTAGGAAGTGGTTTTATTAGCTTACACTGTAATATTTCTTATCCTCTATATAATATGATAATTTTAATTCTTTACGATTTCACTTCTTTCGATCCCTTGGATCATTATATAAATCGGTGTTATTTAGTTTTATCTTATTATTACTTCATCCAAAGGTGCTCGGTGCTGAAAAATTAAATAAAGATAAAGGAAATAACTAAACACAAATTTTCATTTAGTTATTTGTTTCATTTTTTGGGGCGTCTCTAATAATGTATAGTTTCTCGCCCATTTTTTTAATAGTTGAAATAATTCAAATTTTTTGAATGAAGACTCTTTTAAAATTTATTACTCCTATAGTTTAAGGAAAGGAAAACTAAATAGTCAACACAGCTGAACTGGATAAGGTAATTATAGTACTAGTATCTTTTAATATAAGCAGGAAAAGACTAGTAACTTGCGTTTGAATGTAAGTAGTCATAAAAGGACGCAAACCTGGAAGTCAATGCTGTTTTAAGTCCAACTGATTGCGTCTATCTTTTTTATTTGACTTCAAGGGTTTTTGGAATTAACTCTAGGATAATGTCTATGGTCTTTGTTTTTTCCCTTTCCTTTTTTATATATCAGTTACGTATTGATTTATGTTTTACTGCACAGTAATTATTGCAATACATATTACAATAGGGCCGGTTGACAACTTATTGATTGATTAATAAGCAACAAAACTCGTCCAACATCTTAATTTGTCCCATCACATTAAGAAGAAAACAATCTTACTCTTTCACACTCATCCCTCCTACCCCCCCTCCCCCCTCCCCCCAAATAAAGAAAATCATTCATACACAATTGGTTGCTCTTTCAATTAGTATCTTTTGCCAGACGACAAATCAAGGAGATCTGATTCACACACACGACGCAACTCTTTCTATATAGACTACTATAGTACACGACTATTCGTCTATGTACATGCATATTACTGTGTCTCTGTGAATTCTCTTGGAGCTTTGAACCAAAATCCGTTTCTAATAGGTTTTACTTCCTTTTCTTTCTTCTATTTTCTTTTCTCCAAGTATCCGGGCCTATACTTTTTTTGGAATATTTTCAAGCAGTGAAAGAAATTTGGTCTTTTTTTTTACATTAATCTTTATTTCATATTTTTGGATCTGAGATTTTTCTTCTTTTGTTTTATTTAATTAATGGAGTTATGAAGTTAAAAATATTACCAGGAGTCAACGTTGCTTTTCCATGAAGTCCTCCGAAACAGATGATCTCCCTACAATCAACTCATTCAACATTTTTTTTTCATTCTAACTGGCACATATTGAAATTTTCTTCTTTTCATTTAATTACTACTATATTATTACTATGTTGCCATTCACTCTTATAATATAAAATCAGCTTAATTTTTATGTACTACTATTTGGAATATGCAGAAAGTGAAGCATGGGGACAGGAAGTGATAAAGTAATTACAGAATCAGGCGGAGGAATTAGGAGAAGAAATTGTTTTTGCACAAAAGATGATTTTCTACCTGAGGAGTCATTTAAGAGCTGGGGCAATTACGCGAAGGCACTGAGGCAAACGCCGACGAGGTTAATAGAACGGGTACTGACACGATCGGGAGATGAGGCGGAGATAGAATCCAAGTCACGAAGTCAGCACGAAATGAAGAAGACGCTGAATTGGTGGGACCTGATATGGTTCGGGATGGGAGCCGTGATAGGTGCAGGAATCTTCGTACTGACGGGGCTTGAAGCTAGCCAAGACGCTGGACCGGCTGTAGTTCTGTCATATGCCGTTTCCGGTGTCTCCGCCTTGCTCTCCGTCTTCTGCTACACTGAATTTGCCGTTGAAATTCCGGTTGCAGGTAATCATCAGTACACTATTCTGTTCATCTTATGTTCCTTTTAATTTCCTACGGATCGTTTAACTTATAATAATCGTGGAGCCAGAATTTTAATTTTAGAACTATAATTTTAAGTTACTGAATTCTAAATTTAATATTTTTATATATTTAATGAATTTTTCACAAATACAATAAGTTTGGCCGAACCAGCATTCATGCTTCTAGCTCCGCCACTGTTTATAATGTATTGATAGTGTAAGTGTACACATGTTATGCTTTTTCTTAAAAACACTTCTCAATGGTAAAGTAGATACAGGTTTAAAAAAAATCAAAATATAGTTAATTTTTTTAAAAAAAGTATATACAAAGTTTATGAATTTAACGCTTTCCTATATTAATATGATGAAAGGATATATTTAAAAAATATTAGGCAAAGTACTCCGTTGGACTAACGGGGACTTAAATGATAGTGACAACTGTTTGAAAGCGGATTATATGCGTCTATAACGTGATTTTTTTTCTTGTCTGTATTTCATTGTTTCTTCTTCTTCTTCTTCGTTTGACAGATATGGAATTATAAAAAAGAAAGAAAGTTAGGATTACGAATCTTTGGCCGTTCTAAAAATGAAAATACTAAAATCAACAGCTAGCGTACACATGCATTTGCCTTGATTGCCCAATGATTTGCACTATATATTTAAAAACTGTCTTTAAGTTTATGGAATCTTATACTTCGAGTTGAAAAACTAGATCCTAAAAAGTAGTAATATTTTAATAAATTAAAAGTCTACATCTCTTAAATAATCCCACGGTCACTGCCAAGTGCCTGCCACCATGTTGCTGGTATTAATTGTTGTATTGTTTGCATGTAAGGCTTTAAATTAGGGGTATGTTGTCATGAAGCTATATTTGGGTATAAAATCTTTTAAGATACTTATAGTTGTCCTGTATGTTTATTTTGTGCTGAAATTTCTGAAGTGTCAATGCGTTTATTGCAAATTCAGCAATATAATGAAGTCCTATCTAATTTTTCTCAAAAATGACCAAACCATTTCAAATAATTAATAAATACAACACACATATTACTACTTTGGTGTAAAGTCATGGTCCTATGTATCTCCTTCTACCAATGGCAGATCGACTCTGAGTTATGGCTACTTAAGCGCCCATTATTTTTAGAGCCAAAACTATTACTAATATTAAAAACAGTAATAATTTCTATAAATACCTTAATTGAGCACCCAGCCTCACTAGTAATTTTTAGATTAAAAAAAAATGAGCATACATCATTTAAAAATCTTGGATCCGCCACTATCTTCTACTGTTTTCAAACCTGTGATGATTTTATATTTTGATAATATCTCTATTTTAAAAGGTAGAATTAGGACTTGCCCGGGGCTCGGCCCAGGGTGGAGCACTCGTAAAACGTCCCTAGACTTATGTGTGGGGTTTAGTTCTGCGAGACTTACGTCTTGGCCGTCAGGGCTTACGCCCCCGACACGCCCAACGCCCAGCTGGGCTCGCCTAAATAGAACTTTATGCAATTGTGTGTAACTAACCTTGTAAATCCTCAAATTTTCTTAATAAATCGTTGACTATTCCAAACTATTTTTCTTAAATCATAAATTATTAAGTTGAGAGTATTTCATGTCATAATAAAAATAAAAATTATTGCACGTAATCTACTAAGATTGCTATGATAGTAAATTTCAAATCAATATTCATTTAAAAAGTATTTATTTATTAACTTTTGTTATGTCTTTATTATATAATGGTCCATAATTTATTTTTTTATAATTATTTCCCTAAATATTATTTTTTTCACGTTTACGAGATACAATACTTATTAATTTAATAGATCAGTATTAGTTAGTAACTATTTACAATAATTAGTTATCATGGTATTGTATGGTGAATTATGTGTCACTTTATTAACTTGTTAAAACTTAAAAATAAATGATGCTAGATAATCATATTTAAATTGTGAATTATGTTTTTACATAAATTCCCTTTCAAATAGAAATCATATTAAATAAAATGAGTATTTTAATTTTTTTTAATCAAATTGTAATATCGAAATTCTTTCAAGATTCATTACTCCTTAAGAGATACATATAAGATTTCGTATCGAATACATAACTTTTGATGTTTGAGTTGTAACAACGTTGCAACTAATTTGCATATTATGATATATGTCATATTTTTCGTATTATTCATAGATGAATTATAATTCATAAATATTTTAAATAGATTATTTGATATAATTTTATGATTTTCATGTAATTTTTATAATTATTTTTTATTTTATATTATCTTAAAATTCTTAAAATTAATAAAATTTAAAGATCTGTGGGACGTACGCCCCATATCTCAGGGTTACACCTCGCCTCGTCAGAAGTAAAATGCCTCGCTTCACGCCTCCGCATTTTAAAACATTGGATATTATAAAATTCTTCCTTTTCAATATCCACTAAAGGACTTACTTGATACTCCCTCCGGTCCAAAATAAGTGATTTTTTGGATGTTTTCACACAGATTAAGAAACCTACCTTTTAGCATTAATTAGCAATAAAATTGACCATGTTAACCTTTACTATCTCACATAAACACTCCTAACACATATTCCAACACTATTTACTCCAAGGACAATGTAGGAAAAAAATAATTAATTCATTCTTGAAATCTGAAAAAATTACTTATTTTGGACCACAAAAAAAATACCAAAAAATTACTTATTTTGGACCGGAGGGAGTACTTCCTAATACACTTAATTAGGGGGGGGGGGGGGGGGGGGAATCTCCAATATAATATAAATGTCGTTTGGGTTGTGTACAGCCGGATATTGAAAACTTAATGAACCCAAAGGTTGTGGTTGTCCTTTTCTGCGGTCAACGCTAGCAAACCAGGAATATTGGATTTCTCACATGGCTTATGGCAGTGTTTCCTTTCCAGTGTAGTTGGGCGTTGAAGAGTCAAAATTCCAGGTTGGAAAATGGAAGCACAAGCCTCCAACGTAGCTACGTCACTTTTCATTTTCTTTCATTTTTTTGGGGTCAACTTACGTTTTAATTAGCGTCAAAATTGACGAATGGCTTTGAATTCTCATTTCCGGCTGCATTATATATTTGACTTTTAGGATCTTTCCCCTTGATTCTTTTTATATTTTGGGGGGACTACTAAAGGGTAGTTTGTTACATAAATAAATGGGAATAAAAAATAGTCACTATTTTTTATTTATTACCATAGGGAGCATGAGATTGAATTTTGGAGTAGATTTCTTCGGGTAATTGTAAGTACAACACATAATTTGTCATGTGTGAGTTAAATGTACATAGTCAATCATAAATAAAAATACTTAAATAAAAGAGAGTTAAAAATGAATCCATTATCCCGCGAGTGTCGCAACCTTGCATCATAGACCCTCTGGAATTCTTTGATTGTCGTAAACAAAAACGAAGATAATGTTAATAACTTAATATGGATTTAGCCATGTGGGTAATTAGGGTTCTTTTACCCGTTTACACATTCATATTCCCCCAATGTACTCGCACATTGGATTGTCTTTTTCAATAGTTCAAGTTGTCCTAACTAGTTATAATTCTTTCCCCATCTAAATTAGTTTGAACTAATTGTAACATGTTTACCGCATTTCGATCAGCAAAATCTAGTTCCAAATTAATTATCCCTGGTATAAAACCCTTCAACATTTTATCACATGACAATCGTGCACCACATCTTACTAGTGTTATTACAATCCTTTCTCTGTTCATAAGCTATTTGTAAACTAATAAAATTAAAAGAAATTAAAGCTACGGCTGTTTACTGAAAATTTCAGATTAAGAATTATATAACTAGATGAACAATCACGGCATCCTTTTTTTTTTTTTTGTACATAATATTTGGCGATAACATGTAGATTAATATCTTTGTGTCTAAAACGAAATGAACCATGACGGATGATTTTCATCGAATATCCGTGATTACGACTTATACTTTGACATTGGAATTTGCAATAGGTCTAATCACTTTATAATTTTTGAAGTGTATGACCATTTAGACGCTTAAACTTTTACAGAACGCACAATTTTATTTACATAATCCTAGCTTCAACAATATTCATGGAATATTTACTAAGTATTGAAATGATCGTTTTATATAGGTGGCTCATTTGCCTACTTGCGGGTGGAGCTTGGTGACTTCGTGGCCTTCATTGCTGCTGGCAATATTCTCCTCGAATACGTGATTGGTGGAGCTGCAGTGGCTCGTTCTTGGACCTCTTATTTTGCAACTCTACTGAACTTCAGGGCTGACAAATTTCTTATCACTGTAAACGGTTTAGCCAAGGGCTACAACCAACTTGACCCAATCGCAGTTGGTGTTTGCTTCATCATCTGTATCATTGCAATTCGCAGCACAAAGGGTTCTTCTCGTCTCAACTACGTTGCCTCAATCATTCATATCGTCGTGATCATTTTCATCATCATATGTGGCCTAATCAAGTCGGATACCAAGAACTACACCCCCTTTACGCCATTTGGTGCGCGTGGTATTTTCAAGGCTTCTGCTGTTTTGTTCTTTGCTTATGTTGGTTTTGATGCTGTTTCAACTATGGCCGAGGAAACTAAAGATCCGGCTCGAGATATCCCCATTGGCCTAGTTGGTTCTATGGTGATTACTACCACTGTATACTGTATATTGGCTATAACGCTCTGTCTTATGCAGCCTTATCAGAACATTGATCCTAATGCTCCGTTTTCTGTCGCGTTCAAAGCTGTGGGATGGAGTTGGGCGCAATACATTGTTGCTGCAGGTAGAAGCAGAGCTACAATTGCGTTCAGATATTACTTTTTATACGTATATATTAAATCTTGGATACTGTTAACAGAATTCCTGACTTTGCCACTGATTGCAGGTGCGTTAAAAGGAATGACATCTGTGTTGCTGGTAGGCGCGGTTGGTCAGGCGCGTTATCTCACTCACATTGCGCGAACTCACATGATGCCTCCGTGGTTTTCCTATGTTGATGCGAAAACAGGAACGCCCGTTAATGCCACGGCCGTCATGATGAGTGCTACCGCGATCGTTGGCTTCTTCACGAAGCTCGAAATTCTCTCCAATCTCCTGTCGATCTCTACACTTTTCATCTTCATGCTCGTGGCGCTCGCTCTCCTCGTTCGTCGTTACTATGCGAGCGGCGTGACAACAAATGCGGACCGCAACAAGCTAATTGCGTGCCTATTGCTCATCCTCGGGTCCTCAATTGCCACGGCTGCTTATTGGGGACTTAGTGAGAATGGATGGATAGCATACTGCATTACTCTGCCTATTTGGTTTATGGCAACTGCGGGGATTTACATATTTGTTCCTCAAGCTCGTAATCCAAAGCTATGGGGTGTGCCTCTTGTGCCTTGGTTGCCATCAGCCTCCATTGCCATTAACATTTTTCTTCTAGGCTCAATAGATAAAGATTCGTTCATAAGATTTGCTGGCTGGACAGGGTTTCTTTTGGTGTATTACTTCTTTTTTGGGCTACATGCTTCTTATGACACAGCAAAGGAGTTGGAAAAGAGCAAAGGGTGGAAGAATAATATTGAAGAAGGAAATGCAGTTAGCTCTAATGGGTTAAAACATGCTCCTCCTGTTGCTTCTGGTAACTGAATTGTGTCTAAATGTTACAGCGTTATGTTCCTAGTGCTCCTATTTTATTTGTCTTGATTCATGCATATTATGTTAGTCCGTTGTACAGACTGTTTCTAAAGTAAACTAGTGAACGTTGCTGCAATTTACCTAACGCTATCGTTGTACTTCTCAGGCATAGCCGCTTTGAATTAACATAGGAAGAGTTTAACTTTTATGTACTGATAATATTAAAATATGTACCCAATCAGGTCATTTGTTAGGTATATAGGTAAATTTCTCGATAAACATTAACTGTTAATATGATTATGATTGGTAAAAAAACATATAGGTTAAAATTCACAGTATCTTTAGAAACAACAGCCTTAGGCTCCCTGTCGCTTGACATAGTCCGAGGATCTGATGACTGCTTTCCACGACCCCAAAACACAAATCCTCTCTTTCTAAGGTCAACCTCTAAAAAAGAAGAAGGAAAAACCAGCCCAGCCCATTTAACCACTAAAACCAAGGGAAAAAATAAAAATAAAATAGCTAGATTTATAACTGGTAATTGAAAAATAGCCGCAATTTCAAAAGTAATCAAATTTAGTCTGTATGAAGGAGTTCCAACATAATATGATGGAAGTTTATATGCAGGAGCTTCATAATCCCGCATATTATGCTGTAACTTTCCGTGTTTCAGCAAAACAATGACTATTTTCAACGACTTTACAAAAACTGGCAATTTTTTATTAACGGTCCGAAAACTGGCTAGTCCATGCTTTTTTAACTAAAACCAATTCTTCCTTGGCCCTTTTCTGGTAAAAATTGCACGGGGCGTCCTATTTGGGCGCCCCTTTTTAACCTGTAGCCGCTTTGTCTTTTTGTTTGCATCCGTACCCACTTTTTAAAAAACTTCAGCTTCCCTTTATAATTGAAGTTTTCGGGTTACTAAACAAAAACTTCAGCTCTAGAGCTGAAGTTTTTATTTTATAACTAGCAAACTTCAGCTCTAGAGCTGAAGTTTTATTTTATAACAAAAAGTTCAGCTCTAGAGCTGAAGTTTTTATTTTATAACTGGCAAACTTCAGCTCTAGAGCTGAAGTTTTTATTTTATAACTTGAAAACTTCAGCTCTAGAGCTGAAGTTTCCGGGTTACTAAACAAAAACTTATAAAATAAAACTTCAGCTCTAGAGCTGAAGTTTTTATTTTATAACTGGCTCGCGAGTTAAAAAAAAAAACTTCAGCTCTAGAGCTGAACTTCAGGCCCGGCTACTAAAATGCTGAAGTTTTGTGTAATTGTCTTTGCTACTTCAGCCCCGTGTGCTGAAGTTATGTGAAAAAGCGGGTACGCTTGCAATTTTTTTTGCAAAGCGGGCACAGGTTAAAATATGACACAAAAAGCGAGTATAGATGCAAATGCCCTCCTTTTGTGTTTGAGACCAAAACAAAAGCCCAATCCTCCAAGTGCCCTTCTCCACTTTCACCAGAATTAAACCTCTGCCATAAGAAAATATGTTATTTCAACTCCCTTTTCAGGAAAGTAACGAAAGTATAAGATCATGCCAACTAGCGGAATGAGAAATTTGAGTCGAATTATTACAAAACAAGCTATCAATGTAATTGAGATAATTAAAAAGTAACGAATAATAACAGGCTAACCAAATATAAATTACCTATATTTGGAGAAACATATAATAATACCACTAAATCATCCACTTTCACAAGGAATATAATAATAGTATAATAGTAATATGTTACTATAATATCCATGAACTTCTTGTGGCTGATAATGATCATCAACACATTTCTTGTTACAATAAGTCCAATCCAAATGCTTACTATTAATGCATACTTCCTTTTAAAATACATTTCAGAAATCACACTATGTCAATTTCAAGACCATTATTAGAGATATCAATGATGGTAGGTTATAATCTCGTGTTTTAGTCGCTTATTGCACTCTAAATTACTGCACTTTAATTGAGTTTGACCTTTAATCGCTAGTGTTTTGCACTAGTTTTGTGTTTTACGCCTTGCAGGAGTGATTCCGAGCTATGTAGATGTTATAAAATAAATTCGAGCTATTTGAAGCTTTGAAGTCTGAGTAAAAGCCCAAGGGATTAAGCCGGGATCGCGTTCGGGGGTCAACGACCAAGCCTGGATATCAAAAAGCGAGCTAAAACAATTCACTCTGGGAAGCCTCCACAGCCACGACTGCCCAATTTCTGCTGCTGTCAATTTTGTCAAGTCTCTGGATTTTCCCACTAATGCCCCACATGGCGCGTTGCCTCATGCAGCGCGCCTGTACAATTTTTACAGAGCAGGAATGCGCAGGTATTTTCGTCTGGGCCCGACCCTACTTAGTATAAATACATGTAAAAATATTATTTTGTGGACTTTCGACACATCTTAGACTGAAAGAAGCTAAGGAGGGGGTGGAGAAGCAAAAGCACAAGGATTTCATCATTCAATCCTCACTCAAGACAAGAGTTTGGATCGTTTTATATTTTCCTTTGATTTAAACATTGTTATGATGAATTACTCCATATCCATGGAGTAGTTTTCTTTAGAATTTGATGGATTTGGTGTATCGATACTTGTTTGTGGATACTAATTCTAGTTTTATGCATTGAAATCGTTTTGGATGATTTAACCATTGCATCTATATTCACTTGTTCATGTAATCGAGAGAGCCATAACTTGTGATATCTGCGCATTATATTTTATTTGTTGAAGTCATTGATTCTTCTTAGTAATCGAAAGAGGCTAGTTGAATTGTTGATTAAACTTAGTTAGGAGGATAATCGAGAGAGGTTCTCCTAAAGACCAATCCACTACGAATTTTTGCATATCTTCATGAGCTTAAATTGGTTCATCGTGTTAGGTTGAGACTTAATTGTGAGAGGATTTTCTACTAAACAATTGAATTAATAACCAAGTGAATTCGAGAGACTCACTTGAACATTAGAAGTGAATTATCTAGAGTTAGATCCCAAATATTTTTCTTATATCTATCCTATCAACCCTACTTCTCCTAATTGATAACCTTCTTTGCTCATTACTTGCGTCGATTGTCATTAGCCAATAGTTTAGATTCTTTGTTAATTTTAGTTTAAATCACATAATTCTCAACTGTTGATCATCTTGGATAGCAATCGAGCTATAAACTACGAAAATACTGTTTAACTCCAATCCCTGTGGATACGATATTTTATTTTACTATATTCGACTAGCGAGCATATTTAAGTGTGTGTTTTGTGCTCGTCAAATTTTGGCGCCGTTGCCGGGATTGGCAATCAATAGTGTTGAAATAATTTATAGTGTTAATTCAGGAATTTTTCTTTTTATTTTATTTTCTCTTTTTACTTTTGGTGTTCTTTGACTATGCGCAGGCTACACGTTAGATTGGTGCATGACTCGATCTACTGGGAAAGAAGTGCCACCACACGAGCCAAAAATTGAGAAACAATTGCGACAATTGAGGAAGGAATGAAATCTCCCTGAGAATATCGAGAAGGTTGGGAAATCCTCAACCGCAGTAATTGGAGATTATAATATTATGGATTTAGCTTCGAAAGAGGCATCCTTGATAAGAGAAAAAGCTGCTCGGGATGCCCAGCTATTAGAGATGCAGAAATTTCATATGAAGAAGAGAGGGCTCGGAGAACGGATCAGAATCAGCCCTTGGTTCTAAACCAGTTCGGAAACATAGCTCCCAGCCAAGGGAGACAACTTGGTGATTATGCTAGATCGGTCTACAACCAAGGTTTATCAAGTGTGAGACCACATCCTGTTGCAACCAAATTTTTTGAATTGAAGCAAGGGTTGCTTCAAACCCTTCAAAACATATGTGTCTTCAGAGGAAAGATGAACGAAGATCCAAACAATCATATGATGGACTTCGAGGAGATAATGAGCACATTTCAATACAATGGTGTGTCACAAGATGCAATTTACTTCAGGGCATTCCCCTTCACTCTCAAAGATGATGCAAAGCACTGGCTTCGAAGCTTGCCCTAGGGATAAATTAGAACATGGGAGGAGATGACCAGAAAATTTCTTGCTAAATATTTCTCCTCAGCTAAACCGGGCAAGTATAGAAGAGAGATCCATAACTTCTGCCAGAACGAGACTGAAACTGTGTTTGAAGCATGCGAGAGGTTTAAGAAGATAGGACAAAAGTGTCAACATAGTGGAATTGAACTCTGGATGCAACTCTAGGACTTTTTGGATGGTTTGACACTGGCGTCACGCAGAACATTGAGTAATGCAGCTGGAGTCCCGTTGATGAAAAAGACTCCAGAGGAGATAGTCACAATTTAGATGAGTTATCTCAAGATGCAAATCAGTGGCCATCTGAGATTGCTGAAAGAAGAAGATCAACTGGTGTTCATCAAATTGATACTAATACATCTGTGCAGGTACAACTTGATGCCATGGCCAAGGAAATAAGGAAGCTGACTTTAGCTTTGATACATAATGAGCCTCATGCAGCATGTGACATATGTGGAAGAGGACACCCTACTCATGAATGTCAAGCTTCAATGGAGGAAGTGAATTGAGTGGGTAATTATAACCTCAATTCAATGGGTCAGAAGCACCCCGATTTTTCATGGAGTTCACCTGGAGGTACTGCAAATTCATGGCAACAAAACAACCCTAGGTTTCAGGGACAAGGAGCTCCTGGTTTTGTGAATAAGCCAAGGCCGCAGTTTCAGCCTCAATAATCAAATTAGTATGGATTAGACGATCTTATGAATTCATTCATTGTCAAGATAGATGAGAGGCTAGATGCTCATGGTGTATCTATCAAAGAACTTGGGACAAGTTTGCGTAGTTTGGAGAGACAAGTGGGTCAAATGACAAATATATTATCTGAAAGAATCCCAGGTACTCTGCTAGCTGATACTGAAAAGAATCCCAAAGAAACGGTAAATGTTGTGACATTGAGAAGCGGGCAAGTGTTGAAAGAACCCACCCCAGTCCAAAAAGAGGTTGTGCCTGAAAAAGAAAGTGGGGAGCAACTAAAAATTGAAGATGAACGAAGAAGAAGAAAAGCAAGAAAAGTGTTGAGAAAAAGAAGAAAGAGGAAACTTCTAGAAGGGAGGAATCTAATGAAAAGAGCAAGCACATGCCTGCTCTACCGTTTCCCTAAAAGCTCTATAGAGAAAAAAAGCTGGATAA